CCTTAGCAGCCTACGGGTAGGGATGCCAAAGCATTAGGAGTCACAGTAAGTGGCCATATCCTGTACAGAGGCCAGAGGAGGGGGTGAGGGGCAGCAGAGGGGGGACAGGAGGGGTCCTGGGGCTAATCCCGGCCCACGATCTGCAGGATGAAGGTGAAGATGTAGACGATGTCGGTGTAGATGGTGAGGGCACCGTAGACGTACTCCTCGGGGCTCAGTGTGTTCTTCCTGTTCCCCAGCACAAGTTGGGTGTCATAGGCAAGGAACTGGGGAGGCAGAGAGTGTCAGGCAAGGACCAAGGCAGAGTTCGCCCCTCCCCAGGGTCCCTGCTTGACACCCTCTGCCCAGCCCAGCCGTTAGCTCACCAGGGTGAAGGCAATGGCGCCGATGGCCGCGTACAGCATGTGGAGCCAGGGAACCTGCGCGGGGAAGGAGACACGGGCAGGATGAGCGGGGTGCTGGCAGGCAGCGGGCAAGGCAGGGCAGGTCCTGCCTGCACCTGGCTCCCGAGGAGATGCCGCTGATGCTGACGCCGACCCACCCTCTGCCTGCGGGCAAGCTGCCTCTGCCGTGCCCAGCACCACACCCTGCTCCCCGCCAAAGGGAGACCACCCAAACCCCCCTGCACGTGCCAGCCCTGGGGACAACCCAACCAGGGACACTCGTGGCACCCCACAGCCCCTCTGTCCCCCTCACTCACATATCTGAAGGAGAGGACGATGACAGTGACGATCCCGGTCACCATGACCACGATGCCCAGCACGCAGAAGAGCCCCGGACAAGATGTAAAATCAACCTGCCGGGGGGGACACGCATATGTCACATGTGTCCCCACCACCTGGCTCCCTGCACCTGACCCCTGCTGAGGGCAGGGCACATCCCCCTCCTTGCCTTGGTCTGGAAGCAGAAGATAGTGACAATGATGGCCACGATGGCGGTGATAAGCATGGCAATCAGGACAGCGTTAGTCCGGTACATGCTGCAGAGGGGACACCAGAGTCACCTCACGCTTTGTCATCCCCCTGCCAGGGGGGTGTTGGTGAACCCCCACAGCCCAAATCCCCGGCAGGGATCCCACTGTCCCTGAGCCCAGGGGACCAGAGTGTCCCCCGTCTCCCAGCAGCCTCTTACTGAACTGGCTGCACGGCGGGGGACACGAGGGACCCCAGATCCTGTCACCGCGAGGACCCCAGGGCATACCTGGCGATCGTCCCCGTCATCAGCCCCATGGCCAGCGTCTGCAGGAGAGAAGGGTGGGCTCAGTGGGGTGAGCAGCACCGTGGGGGGCAGCAGTTCCTGGCTGCCCCCCC